CTTATTTCACTAAGCATAACACCCTCCAGTTCTATCCATGTCGTTGCAAATGGCAAGATCTCATTCCTTTTGATGGCTGCATAATATTCCATTGTGTATATATACCACTTCTTCTTTATCCATTCATCTGTCGATGGACATCTTGGCTCTTTCCACAGTTTGGCTATTGTGGACATTGCTGCTATAAACATCGGGGTGCACGTACCCCTTCGGGTCCCTACATTTGTATCTTTGGGGTAAATACCCAGTAGTGCAATTGCTGGATCGAATGGTAGCTCTAATTTCAACTGTTTGAGGAACCTCCATACTGTTTTCCAGAGTGGTCGCACCAGCTTGCATTCCCACCAACAGTGTAGGAGGTTTCCCCTTTCTCCACATCCCCGCCAACATCTGTCATTCCCTGACTTGTTAATTTTAGCCATTCTGACGGGTGTGAGGTGGTATCTCATGGAGGTTTTGATTTGGATTTCCCTGATGCCGAGCGATGTGGAGCACTTTTTCATGTGCCTGTTGGCCATTTGGATGTCTTCTTTGGAAAAATGTCTGTTCATGTTTTCTGCCCATTTCTTGATTGGATTATTTGTTCTTTGGGTGTTGAGTTTGATAAGTTCTTTATAGATTTTGGATACTAGCCCTTTATCTGATATGTCATTTGCAAATATTTTCTCCCATTCTGTCGGTTGTCTTTTGGTTTTGTGGACTGTTTCTTTTGCTGTGCAAAAGCTTTTTATCTTGATGAAATCCTAATAGTTCATTTTTGCCCTGGCTTCCCGTGCCTTTGGCGATGTTTCTAGGAAGAAGTTGCTGCGGCTGAGGTCGAAGAGGTTGCTACCTGTGTTCTCCTTTAGGATTTGGATGGACTCCTTCTCACGTTTAGGTCTTTCAACCATTTGGAGTCTATTTTTGTGTGTGGTGTAAGGAAATGGTCCAGTTTCATTCTTCTGCATGTGGCTGTCCAATTTTCCCAACACCATTTGTTGAAGAGACTGTCTTTTTTCCATTGGACATTCTTTCCTGCTTTGTCAAAGATAAGTTGACCATAGACTTGAGGGTCCATTCCTGGGCTGTCTATTCTGTTCCATTGATCTATGGGTCTGTTTTTGTGCCAGTACCATACTGTCTTGATGATGACAGCTTTGTAATAGAGCTGGAAGTCCGGAATTGTGATGCTGCCAGCTTTGCTTTTCTTTTTCAATATTCCTCTGGCTATTCGGGGTCTCTTCTGGTTCCATACAAATTTTAGGATTATTTGTTCCATTTCTTTGAAAAAAGTGGATGGTATTTTGACGGGGATTGCATTGAATGTGTAGATTGCTCTAGGTAGCATTGACATCTTCACAATGTTGGTTCTCCCAATCCATGAGCATGGAACGTTTTTCCATTTCTTTGTGTCTTCTTCAATTTCTTTCCTGAGTATTTTATAGTTTTCTGAGTACAGATCCTTTGCCTCTTTGGTTAAATTTATTCCTAGGTATCTTATGGTTTTGGGTGCAATTGTGAATGGGATCGACTCCTTGATTTGTCTCTCTTCTGTCTTGTTGTTGGTGTATAGGAATGCCACTGATTTCTGTGCATTGATTTTATAGCCTGCTACTTGACTGAATTCCTGTATGAGTTCTAGCAGTTTTGGGGTGGAGTCTTTTGGGTTTTCCACATAAAGTATCATATCATCTGCAAAGAGTGAGAGTTTGACTTCCTCTTTGCCAATTTGGATGCCTTTGATTTCTTCTTGTTGTCTGATTGCTGTGGCTAGGACTTCTAATACTATGTTGAATAGCAGTGGTGAGAGTGGACATCCCTGCCACGTTCCTGACCTTAGGGGAAAAGCTCTCAGCCTTTCCCCATTGAGAATGATATTTGCTGTAGGTTTTTCGTAGATGGCTTTTATGATATTGAGGTATGTACCCTCTATCCCTATACTCTGAAGAGTTTTGATCAAGAAAGGATGCTGTACTTTGTCAAATGCTTTTTCTGCATCTATTGAGAGGATCATAGGATTCTTGTTCTTTCTTTTGTTAATGTATTGTATCACGTTGATTGATTGGCGGATGTTGAACCAGCCTTGCAGCCCAGGGATAAATCCCACTTGGTCGTGGTGAATAATCCTTTTAATGTACTGTTGGATCCTATTGGCTAGTATTTTGGTGAGACTTTTTGCATCCATGTTCATCAACGATATTGGTCTGTAATTCTCCTTTTTGATGGGGTCTTTGTCTGGTTTGGGGATCAAGGTAATGGTGGCCTCATAAAATGAATTTGGAAGTTTCCCTTCCATTTGTATTTTTTGGAACAGTTTCAGGAGAATAGGTATTAATTCTTCTTTAAATGTCTGATAGAATTCCCCTGGGAAGCCATCTGGCCCTGGGCTTTTGTTTGTTGGGAGATTTTTGATGACTGCTTCAATTTCCTTAGTGGTTATAGGTCTGTTCAGGTTTTCTATTTCTTCCTGGTTCAGTTTTGGTAGTTGATACATCTCTAGGAATGCACCCATTTCTTCCAAGTTATCTAATTTGCTGGCATAGAGTTGCTCATCATATGTTCTTATAATTGTTTGTATTTCTTTGGTGTTGGTTGTGATCTCTCCTCTTTCATTCATGATTTTGTTGATTTGGGCATTTCTCCTTTCTTTTTGATCAGTCTGGCCAGGGGTTTATCAATCTTGTTAATTCTTTCAAAGAACCAGCTCCTAGTTTCGTTGATCTGTTCTTCTGTTCTTTTGGTTTCTAGTTCATTGATTTCTGCTCTGATCTTGATTATTTCTCTTCTCCTGCTGGGTTTAGGCTTTCTTTGCTGTTCTTTCTCCAGCTCCTTTAGGTGTAGGGTTAGGTTGTGTATTTGAGACCTTTCTTGTTTCTTGAGAAAGGCTTGTATTGCTATATACTTTCCTCTCAGGACTGCCTTTGCTGTATCCCAAAGATTTTGGACAGTTGTGTTTTCATTTTCATTGGTTTCCATGAATTTTTTTAATTTTTCTTTAATTTCCTGGTTGACGCATTCATTCTTTAGTAGGATGCTCTTTAGCCTCCATGTATTTGAGTTCTTTCCGACTTTCCTCTTGTGATTGAGTTCTAGTTTCAAAGCATTGTGGTCCGAAAATATGCAGGGGATGATCCCAATCTTTTGGTTCCGGTTGAGACCTGATTTGTGACCTAGGATGTGATCAATTCTGGAGAATGTTCCATGGGCACTAGAGAAGAATGTGTATTCTGTTGCTTTGGGATGGAATGTTCTGAATATGTCTGTGAAGCCTGTTGGTTTTCTTAACAGTGTCATTTAATGAGTTGGATCGAAGATTTTAATAAAGAGATTTGGGGACCAGTGCTGGAAGTAATGAACCCTCACTCATTCTATATCTGATGCTGCTAATTTTTATTTACGAAGATTTATTATTTATTTTTAAAAGATTTTATTTATTTATTTGAGAGAGAGAGAGAGAGAGTGCAGGGGAGGAGCAGAGGGAGTGGGGAGAAGCAGACTCTGTGCTGAGCACAGAGCCCCGCATGGGGCTTGATCTCAAGACCCTGAGATCCTGACCTGAGCTGAAACTGAGAGTTGCGCTCAACCGACTGAGCCACCGAGGGGGCCCCATAGTTACGAAGGTTTATGATGTGCTGGTGGGCATGAGGATTATAACCACACTTTCTTTTCAAGGCATCTGGTATTGCATGAAAAGATACTTTTCAAAGGAAAGTTAGACTTCCCCATAGTAACAACAATTGTGTTGCTGGTTGTGAAGACTCCAGATGTGTTAGGTCTCTTTGAGTAAGCTGCTGCCAGTGCATAGGAGCAGCGCAGGTAAGAAGATCATGTTCTGTCCTTGGCCAACTTTGCGTCCTCATTTGGCCAACTTTGCGTCCTCATTTACCAAAGCTTTGACATGATAATGACTGACATAGCGCTCAAGGGGGCTGTGCTGTCTGCTGATCCAGTTAAGCCCTACAGACACTGACGAATCAGGAGAAACAGTAACACAGCAGCTTCGGCCAGCACTTCCCCCAAGATTTGATGACAGAGTGCATAGTCCTTTTACAGATTAACAAAACAAGGAGAGAAGCGAGGCCCTACTACTCCTGGAGAGGCAGAAAGAATTCCTCTTAGGGAGAGGGGCATCATGTGATATTAAATACTGACTCATTACATGGGTTTAGGGGAGACGTTTTCAAGCTTCCTGGAATACCAGCAACAAAAAACAAGCTTTCCAAACTAGAGTTCATATGCGAACTCACATACCAACCCAACTCTGGCATTTGCTACCGAACTGATGCTTGGTTCTAATGCTGATCATCATTAGCTCCAATCTTTTATATTTGCGATAAGATTTGATTTTGATAATAAATATAGTTCTCAAGTTGAAAAGCTGTAGTAGTCCTTTATTGGCACTAAGTAAAATCTGGCTTTTTGGTTGATTTCCATTAATTCTGAATTATTTAGTGTAACATTTGGAACATTTAGCTTTGGAGAAAAATATATAGAAGATCACTGTGGACTTGTTCTTTAATACCTACACTGTTTGGAACTGAGAAAAGACTTAGCTTTGTTTTTACTTGTACACTGTCACTTCTGTCGGGCTCTGAGTGCTCTGATTTTCCTGGGTTCCACTTACATGCTAGAATTCTCCATTTGTCTACTTATCACTGATCCTGCAAAACTCAGAAAAAAAAAAAATAGCAACAGCTCAAGGAGGAACTGGCCACGGCTCCATGCAAGGGACAGATCAGCGCTGAGAGAGCCAGAACTTCCTTAGATGCAAAGAGAGAAAAAAAATTAGGGACTTGAAATTATTGAGAAGACTTGAGAGTCGGTGGTCTTCTTCAACAGTTTAAAAATTCTACAATGTGAACAAAAGGTTGGTACATTGAAAACATGGTTCGGACGTCTTTTTTTTTTCTTTAAATGTGTGCCCTCTAGGAAGAGAATATGATTTTTTTTTCTTTTTACTCAGACAAAACTCTGATTTTAGCTATTGTCTTTTCTAACGGCCTCTTTTCCTGCCACTTCAGGTGAACCTCTTTGTGCTGCTGTCTGTGGTGTGTGTCCTCTTAAATCTAGCTGGATTTATCCTCGGCTGCCAGGGGGCCCAGTTTGTGTCCAGCGTGCCCAGATGTGATCTGGTAAGTTGTCCGAAACCGTCGCTGTGCGCCTGCGCGGACCCTGGCTTTCCCGGGGGGCGGGGGAGGGGTGCGCGCACTGTGTGCCCGGCAAGCTCCCTCGAGTGAAGCCTGCTCTTTGTTTCGTTTCCCCATGTCCCCTGACCAACTTCAGGTATTTCTTTTCCAAAGCAGGGACCAGCTAGCAGAGCCCCAGAACCACAGTGAGATAGCGCGTCGTTAGTTAGGGAATGGACCGGTCAGGTGTCCACAAGCAGTATCGGTCTGCTCTCATCCGAAGAGGGAAAACGGAGATGATCAGAATACAGGTCAGCCGTCCTTTCTCCAAAACCTCTGGAGGCTGGCTGTGTTTCAGCATTCAGAGTTTCCCCGATTTTGAGAAGATAAACCTGATGCATACGTTACTTACGCTGTAGCAAGCACCCCGCTCGACTCTGGGGCAGCAGGTTGTAATCACAACGTCTGGTTTTCGGGGCTTTTTGAATTTCAGAATTGTGGTTAAGAGGTTATGGACCTGCACAATCTCCGAATATTTTCTTTTAATTTTTTGACTGTGGTAAAATGCATGTAGTAGCATAAAATGTGCCATCTTCATTTTTAAGAGTTAAGTTTAGTAGTTGATGTACATTCACGTTGTTGGGCAACCAATCTCCAGAACATTTTTCTTGTTGCAAAACTGAAACTCTGTCCATATTAAATAGCTCCCCCACCTTCCTGGCTGTGATAAAGCCTGGGCCTCCCCCATTAGGAAGACTCCTCAGGGACTCACCACAAACCCATTGCTCTTTCTAACACTGCTTTACAAGTTTTCTGATTTTGTCACCCCATTGGTTATTAACCGTACGTTACAGGATCCCAGGCTCACAGCCTTTTTTGGCTTTTAAGGCCCTCTGCAGTTCACCCTTGTCCTGCCCACTCCCGGAGGCAGCTCACCCTGTCATTGCTCCAAAGCTTGCCTGGCATTGCCCTACTTTCATACTTTAAACAGCACCTCTCCCCCCAAATTCCCTGTCCATCAGTCCTTGTTCCTCCAAATGATATCAGTCCTTTACAGACCCATTCAAAGATTACCTCCTTCAGGAAACAGTTCCTAAACTCCCAGGAAAGATAATCTTCCAGAATGTCTTATATGTACCTCTCTCAGGCATTTATCCTTTTCGTTTTTTGGACTAGAGACATTCATACACCTGTCTTCTCTGTTCTTCTGAGTTGGGATCTCCCCAAGGGCAATGTCACCATCTCTATTAATTTGGGAGTTCCCAATGGTCCCCCTGCACTGCCTCCCACTCCTTCACATACAGAGTTCCCAGGGGGGAAAAATAAGTTGAACCAAGCTTGGTTTTCCAATTACTAATCACACAGCAAATTAGAAGGGGCAAAGAGACCAGACACAGGCTGAAAGTGGTAAGTCCCAGTATCTGGAAAGACAGTTTGGAGAAATTGTAGCATCTCTTATGTCAAGACACTGATTAGAGGCTGCAGAGAGTAGAAAGGAAAGTCAGACCTCGTTCCTGACCTAGAAGTTTATCATGTGCAAGAGGAACAGGTTAAACGCAGCAGATGCTTGAGTGGTGTTTGTGGAGGGAATGAATACATGCCCAGATACAGGTAGATCCACTGGGTTTGGCCTCAGAGTGAGACACGGCGCCCGGGACATGCAGAGAAAGAAGGGCTTGTATCGGGGGAAGATAAGGAATATAGGTATTTGAGATGGACCTTGAATGATGAATAGATAAGGAGAGTGGGTAGAGCCCCAGAGAGGCGAGTACTCAGAGGGCAGTGGTGGTGGGAAATGAGCCTTGGTAGCTCTTGGAAAAGCAGAAGCCAGATTGCAAGGGGTCAAGGGTATAGTTAATGGGCTTTCCTGAGAAATTCTGTGGTTCTTTACCCTGGGTGCCCATTAGACTCACCTGGGGGAACTTTGTAAAGAATCCCCTAACTGGGGCCACATTCCCAAAGATTCTCAGTTGGCCTGGCCGGGGGGAGGGGGTGGGTCTAGGCATCTGTATCTTTTTATATTTTAAGTGTATTTTTATTTAAACCTTTTCTCCCCACCACAAAACCAATTCTGTGATTGTATTTGATTATAAAACTGTAAAAATTTGGGCAAGTCATAAAAGTATAGAACTTAAAAAAAAACTCACTCTTCTGGGTAAGCACAGTTCACCATTTGGCGGATTTTGGGGGCACCTCTTTATAGACATAAAAACACACGATTTCCATCAGTGGGACCGTATCATAATTGTTGTTTTTCATTAGGGAGGCTATTTGACCAATGAAATCTTTTTGGGGGAGGGGACACTCTTCCTCATTCCCTCTCCACCATGCTAGTCACCCCAAATTCCTGCTAACAAGCTGGGGGGTCTCCCTCCATGTGTTCAGATTACCTCACATAAATACGTAGGGGGTGGACCTCATCGTGATATATTTTCCAAAAATGGCACATATTGTATCCACTCCCCTACATACTGTGTTTCTCACTTACAGATTTAACACTCTTCTTTGTTTAGAACAGCTAGTTCTCTATTGCCTTGTTGTCTGTGGTGGTTTGGGTTTTGGCCGATAAAAACAATGTAGCCACGCATACCATCCTGCACATCCCCCTGGCCAATTTTCGCCAGCCGGAGGAAGCTCCCAGGTCAGACATTGTTCCTGGTAGGGAAGATGTAGTTTTTCTTCTGTTTGTCTCATTTAAAAAAAAAAAAGTTCCACGTTCAACCCTTTGGTGATGCTGTTTTTTTTAATGGAGGTAAAATTTACAGTGAAATGCACAGACTTGAAGTGTGCAGTTCATTGAGTTTTGACCAATGTATATATTCATCTTGACAAATGAACACACTCATGTATACACCCCAAACAAGATCCAGAACATTAGTTTTGCCTGTTCTTGCATTTCACCCAAATGGAGTCATAGGGTATATACCTTTTTGTCTCTGTCTTATTTTGCTTAGCACAACAATTTTGAGATCTGTCCATGATTTTGTGTTGTGTCAGTTGCTTTTTTTTTGCACATCAGGATTTCATTGTATACAAATATCACATTTTGTTTAATCCACTCTCCTGTTGATGGACATTTCCATTGTTTCCAGTTTGGGGGTATTATGAACAGAGCTCTTGTAAACATTTTTGTAGAGTCGTGGTTTTTCTTGTGGGTCCCTTCTCATTTCTCTTGAGTAAATAAAGAGGTGTGGGATTTGCTCAGTCACATGGTAAAAGTAGGTCTGTGTAACTTTAAGAAATTGCTAAACAGTTTCCCAAAGTGGCTGGGGAATAAGTATCTTTGATTTAAAATATTTGGCCGGTTCCTTTATTAAAAGGTTCAACTGATATTTCTACCGGTGACCCTTTGCCAACTGTAAGCATTTCTGTCTAGTGTTTGTCAGTCTGATGGGGCTGGTGTGAGAGCTCCTTGTTATGTTAGCTTGCAGTTCCCTCATTGCAAGAGAAGGTGTCCTCCTTTTTTTGAAAGCTTCCTAGAAGAGGCTAATGAGCAGCCAGTGTTGAGAACCATAATCCTGGTGATGAGGAGAGGGCGGGGAGGGCATGGTGGGTCAGGGAATAGTATCAGGGTAGAAGGGTGGATGATTTTCATGTAGAGGCTTGGACAAGGTTGTTTGTGGATGGTTAAGAGATCGAAGAGAAGTTGGAATAACTTTGCAGAAAGGGATTAAGAAGGGAGATGAAGGGTCAGGAACAGAAAGAACAAGAAATCCAAAACGCACCATTGCCTGGCACCATTTTGTACAGAGCCTCAGGGCTCCCGTGTCAGCTGGGCACAGCCACTGATACCCATTTTTATTTGGACAATGATTAAACTTCCCAAAAGCCTTGTGTAAAGAGATTAACCTTCACCCATCTGGAAAATTGTTGCATCCGGACCAGTTCAGCCCGGAAGTTCCGGATAGATGAGGTTTCCAGGTACATACAAGTCTGGTTGTGTGTGAATAATGCCGCTGTGTGTGTGTGGCCCACACAGGCCTGTTTTCTCTCTTAACTGAACACCTTTTACCAAGAATGGACTCGAGTGGGAGGGGAGTACTTTGTAAGATGACACTGGATATTACCTGCAGGAGGCAGAATCCTTAGGTAAGATTTTGAAGCTTATGTAAGTACAAGAAATGGAAACCTGCACTGCACGGTGTTGAGAAAAGTGAGCGAGCGTGGTTGGTGTTTGGCAAGAGGAGAGCCTTGGGCACATGAACAGAATGGAGCAACCTGATGGCTGCTTATTTGTAACTACTAAATAGTACTGTTAGTATTAAATCAGGGGGTTCTCAGCTGGACTTCAAAGGAAGAAGCCCAATAGGAATAACACTTACCTGCTGAATTTAGCCCAGGGTAAGGACTATTATTAATTTATGGAAGAGGGGCTAAGAGAAAGCCAGTGATCCCCGAGAGGAAATAAAATACCCACCCCCCAGACCCTGCCTAGAGAAATCCTGTCTGAATGGCCACAGTAGTTTTCCCTTAGAAGGCAAAACTCTAGTGTAGATTTTAGCAACAGGATGTGCCTTCAAAAAAGTGAGACAGTGGAAGAAAAATTCAGACTCAGACAGTCTTTTGCTTTTGTGTGTGTCTGGGGGTCGGATTGTGGATCTAGGTGTGAGGACATTGTTGAGATAACAGTCTCTGTGGGCAAACCAGGAAAAGACAGAAACCAAGTGGAGATGAATGGATGGAGATGGAGTCCATCAAGGTAACTCTAGCTGTTGTAATTCTTTGTATCAGAAGCAGAATTTATATCAAAATCTGGGCATCAGTGTTTGATATACTATTGCACCCTTTTCAGTGTGGTTTAGGGATGGAGAATAAGAAATGTTATAGGATCCATGGAGTTTTGGAAGAGGCAAAACTAGTCCTTGTGGAAAAAATTAAAAAAGTATTTGTGGGAGGGCAGGGATTGATGGGGAAGGGCACAATGGAATTTTCTCTGGTGATGCTATGTTCTGTATGTTGTTAAGGGTTCGGGGTGCATTGCTTAAAATTCTGCAAATGGTATGCTTAAGATTTGTGTATGTAAATTTTGTGTGTGTGTATATAAGTTTCACATCCAAAGAAAATATGTGATCTTTAGTGGAAATTTTTCCCTTTGCTTCCTAATCAGCTTATGTAATAAGGAACTGTATTTTCTCTTAATCTGGAAAAATACCATAAATTTGTTACTAGAGGGTAACTAGAGAGTAAGTGTAGTTAGAAGGTAAGAATCTTAATTCAATAAGAAAAAAGACCCTTCTTCTCTCTTAAGTAACTCTAACACTGTAGACGTTCAGTTATTCTTAAAGATTCCTGAAGAATTTTGCAGCAAGTGCCGTCAAAACTGCCTACTTAACAAGTATGACAAAGGCATGGCTTTCCCTTTTAACCAAAATAGAATAACCAACTTCAACAATTCAAGAGGCAAAGCAAGTAAGAATGAACCTCTGCTCCGAAATTATGGGTCTTAATTAACCAAAACCAGGTGTTGCTTATTCTCACAACTTGAGTCAAGGGAGACTTCAAAAAGTGGTTGCAAGTTTGCAAAACATTTCACTACAAGTAAGAGATTACTCATCACTGATATTATCACTTCAAATCTGTGACCACATTGAAGATGTCAAACTGAGGGATCTCCTTAAGCCTACATGGTTTAGGGCTACTGTTCATCAAATATACCGTGTTTCTCACGGGCACATGGTAGCTTGAACTTCCTTGCCCTCTTGGAGTTAGATAGGGCTATAAGATTCACTTTGGCAATTGTGAGCTAAAGCGATGAGGGTCATTTGCAAGAGGAAGATTTAAGCTAGAGTTACGAGATTTAGCAAGTAAAAACACAGGACACCCAATTAAATCTGAATTTCAAATAAACAGCAAATAGTTTTTTAACTGGGTGTCCCATATTTTATCCAGCAACCCTACTTTAAGTGCCAACGTGCATTTTATCATGTGCTCTCCATCTCTCTGGCACAGTGATCATTAATCCTAAAATGGTGTGTGCTTCGTCAACCTGGGTTCCTAATGGACTAAGATGAGCAGAGCACCCTGCTGACCTACAGTGGGCATTCGCATATTCAAGAAATAACCTTCTCGTCCACACCATACCCTAGCCTATCCTGATGGATCCAGACACCACCATATCTCATTCTGTAGGATTGGTGCTCCAATATGTAGCCTGCATATTTATTCTCAATAATGAAATTATGGTTCTGCCTTTCTCCCCCTTTAAGGTGGACTTAGGTGAAGGAAAGATTTGCTTCTGTTGTGAAGAATTTCAACCAGCCAAATGCACGGACAAAGAAAATGCCTTGAAACTCTTTCCGGTTCAGTCTTGTAGCGCTGTTCACCTTCTACTTAAGGTACCTTGAGCGGATCCCACCCCCATCAGTAAATACACTAGAGAGCCCTCAAATAAGGCAAAGTTATTTGAAATAGCCTTACTCTGTTACCTCCCTCAATCAATTGGGCTGCACATAGGAGCCAACCCTCATCAGTGACCCAGAGGCAGGAGTGACTTCAGGAAGAAGCACAGATTGTGTGTCTCTTAAGTAATGAATGGATGGCTTTCTTTGTGTTCAAGAGTTACAAGATAGCAAAAAATGTAAAGGAGTATACATGTGTTTCCATCCATGCACACGCACAATGTAGCTACACATAGATGATGCAGCTTTTAGCAAAACCTTAACTTTTTTTATTTAAAGTAGGCTTTCCACCCACGTGGGGCTTGAACTCACGAGCCTAAGATTAAGAGTTGCATGCCCCACCAGCTGAGCCAGCCAGGCACCCCTGCTTTGGGCAAAACCTTTCAACTGCCTGCCCATTTGTCCTTGTTGTGACGCTCCTTTGTCAGTTTCAGTGAGTCCCGTGGGCTGTTGGGTGCTGCCGAGCCCAGACACAGAGGCTTAGGACAGATAAGCAGTTAGAAAACGCAGGGGACATTCATGCACCTTACCTCTTGTTTCATAGGCAGCGACTAGAATGAGTGAGAGATTAAAAATAAATGACACCAGTTGCAGAGAAGTACAAAATTACCCTTTGTTAGGGACTTGGATAAAAGTTGAGTCCTGACTCACTGGGGCTCATTAGCCCAGTGAGTGACAAGATCAGTTGGTGAACCGTGAGGTATTAGTTCTTGGATAATTCCTCGCTGAGGGCTTTCTTCAGGTCTTTGTTTTGGGTTTGTTTTTTTGTTCGAAGGAGGAGTCTCTCCGCTGCCAGCTCTCTGAGAATGTAAAAGTGGCCTTCTGTCTTTGGCTTCTGGATTTCTGGTAGCTGAGTCACCCCCAAACTTTGAGCCAAGACCCCTCTTGGGGAAAGCCTCGCTAAGGAGCCAAGACTGTGGCAAAAGAAACTTTTGGAATTGCCCTTACGGCTATTTTGAGACGTGGGTTTGGAGAAGAGATGCCCTCTTTATGCTCTGGCTGGCCTGCCCCCCGCGCTGTCGTAGCTGGGTGCCCAGGGGAGCTCTGCCAATAGCTCCCAAAATAGAATCAGTGGCCACAAATAAAACAGCAGGCCGTCCCCAGTGGGAGGCTGGAATTGCTATCACTGGGGACACCAACTTCAGAAGAGACGCTCATTGCTCTTCTGGAAGGAACATTTCCAGACAATGTTCTGATGCTGGCAAAAAGAAAACTTGTAATACCAGGGCTTTCTGGGACAGGAAGCCTCTAAGATAAGTTTTTTAAAATGCTTATATGACTGCATGAGAGCCATATTAATAACCAGTATTCATTTGGCACTTACCACGAGCCAGACATCAAAGTCCTTCGCATCCATCTTCCCACGAGAATTGGTTTATTGTGACATCTTTATTATTATTTAAAACAGTTTTTCTATTGCCTTATGGTCATCAGCTTTTTTTTTTTTTAAGATTTCATTTATTTATTTGACAGAGAGAGAGACACACACACAGCGAGAGAGGGAACACAAGCAGGGGGAGTGGGAGAGGGAGAAGCAGGCTTCCCGCGGAGCAGGGAGCCCAACGCGGGGCTCCATCCCAGGACCCTGGGATCATGACCTGAGCCGAAGGCAGACGCTTAACCAGTGAGCCACCCAGGCGCCCCTGGTCATCAGCTTTGACGCGCTCAGTGGTGTTACTGTTTCCTTGTCCTAGAAAGTTCTTTTCGCCCTGTGTGCCTTGAACGCCCTGACCACCACCGTCTGCTTGGCAGCAGCTGCCCTTCGCTACCTCCAGATATTTGCAGCCAGAAGACCCTGCATCGTAAGTCCATACAAGGTGGCACCATGACTGTGGCCCACGGAGCCTTTGTCATGAAGGCTGTTGACTAACCAAGGTGCTTGTTTCATTAGGACGAATCCCAGATTTCTGCCGAAGAAGTGGAAGAACACGGACGGATCCCAGACCCCGATGACTTCGTACCGCCAGTGCCGCCCCCCTCCTATTTCGCCACATTTTACTCGTGCACGCCCCGGATGGACCGCAGGTAGCCTTCCTGAGTGCCCCCGCCCCAGCCATCTGTGAGGTGGCCTCCGTTTGGAAGACTGAAAGGTTTCCAGGACCTCTAGCATGAGCTTACTTCTCTCCAAAATCTAGACAGATGGTGTTACTTTTCAGGATTTTCTTTTTTTTTTCTTTTTCTTTTTCTTTCTTTCTTCCTTTTTGAAGTAGGCTCCACGCCCAGTGTGGGGCTTGAACTCAAGACCCTGAGATCAAGCCTCGTACACTGTGCCCACTGAGCCAGCTAGGCGCCCGTTTTCAGGATTTTCTATCCCTCTTCCCCACCCTGCTGTTTTGTCTGATAAACGGCTGAAACCAAAGAAAAGTCCCACCTCGAACTAAGGATATACTTTTTCCATTTCAATTAGCTTCCCAGGAAAACTGACACCCAGTGAGACAGTCGCTGTCATGTGACTTGATTGAGAGCTGCGGTTGCCCAGGAAACACGCTCAGGCCAAATTGATGTTCATTATAACACCATCAGCAGGGCCCCAAATCATGACATTCTTCCAAGCCATTAAAAAGAGATTAATTATTCATGACTTCTCCCTGGTCTAGAAAAAATAGACACCACGCTGGTTTCCTTTTTCAAATTCTAGCTCAGAATTTATCATTTGTTTCTTAAATCTCAGAAAAGACTATCCACAGAAGGAAAGGATGCATGCGTTTGTCTGGTTGTTATGGACTTCTAGAATTGTACCTCTCTAAAGAATGACTTCGTTTATTCATTCGACAAACATTTAATCAGTCCTCTGCTGCTTACTATTCACCTCCCCCCGCCCCCAGGGTTGGTGACATTCAAATGACTTAGACCTGCCTCCTTCCCCTCTCAAGGAGCTCGCATCCTGGGTCATTACAGCTGAGTGTTGCAAGGATCATAATAATTCTCAAAAGAGAGATTTTGAGTGCACCGAGGAGGACCACCTGACCCAGGATGGTGAATGGGCTGCAGAGAGCTTTGAAGGAAGAATCAGCCAGTCAGGGTTGGCTTTGTGGGTGAAGTGATCTTAAGCCAAATTTCAAGGATCAGCAAACCATATTTAAGCTTCCAAAAGAAAGTCTCTGAATTCTGTAAGAGAGACTCATGTCTTTAGCTTGAGATTCAGAGGGCCAGGAATTTCTGCTTTTAATCCCCAAGGCATACGTGGAGAGTTGTCAGACAAATGTGGTGGCAGCCTTGGGGTTTTTGGAAATCCTCTTGCTAATGCTCAGGACGGCCACATGTGGCTTTGAAGCAGGTCACCAGTGGGAGCTACCGCCCAGACACTGTTAACGTTCTTTTCCATGGGTAACCTCCCGACCTGCTGCTCAGAGTCATGCCTACACCCCATCTCCACACCCTCCCCTCCTCGCCCACCTAGGGGGGGCTCAAGATGGCCAAGAGCTGGAGGGGCGCCCGTGGATGCACGGGGAAATTCAGCCTCCCTGTTGTTCAGGGGGTGGTGTACTGGAATTTTGAAGCTTGGGGGGCTAGGATGACTTTTGTAGTGTATTAGGGACTGAGGCAAGAATTACAGGGGCCAGAGAGACATAGTCTTTGTGCACCAAAGGACACATTTGCTCATACCTTAGCCCAGTCTCTGGCTGTGTGTAGAGGGCCATGTTGGAAGGCAGTAAAAAAGAAAAAAAAGCCTGTTATTTCGTGGTTGGGAAGAGAAATAGAGAAATGCCGTCTTGGAGAAGAATTAAGTGGCTCTCTGAGATTGTAGGTGAGCCCTTGGTTGACCTAAGAGGAGGCAACAGACAGATTTAATTTCCTGCAGTGGCAGAAAGGGAAAGTGACTCATGCAGGTGTAGGAGTCTCTCTGTCCCGTAGACCGCCCCTCCCCCGCCTGCCCTTCTCTCTTCCGTTTCTCTTTTCGGTTCCTCCATAGTAATGCTTATCAGTGTGGGTATTTCCACTCTTTGGGATGTGGGTGCATCCCTGAATTCGCCCCTCTGAGTCCCGAGACTGCCCCTCACCAAATCCAGATAAGCTTCTCACCAAGGGCTTTATCATTCAGAACTTTCGGGAATGAACATGGGGAAGGGTGTTAAAGTAATACATCCTTGTGGGAAAGGAGACGCTGCTAGGCCTAAAGTATATACCTGGAGGCCTGGATCATATCTCCAATGGGCAAACAGCCTCATTTTCTGAAATTCTCCCAATACTAGAGGGCGGTCCACTTTACTTGTTAAATGGCTACATTTATTCACTTTTAGATACATATTGTATCAAAGGTATTTTTGCATTTGACCGACTTTGCTAGATTCTTTTTTTTTTTTTTAAAGATTTTATTTATTTATTTGACAGAGAGAGATACAGCGAGAGAGGGAACACAAGCAGGGGGAGCAGGAGAGGGAGAAGCAGGCTTCCCGCGGAGCAGGAAGCCCGACATGGGGCTCGATCCCAGGACCCTAGGATCACGACCCGAGCCGAAGGCAGACGCCCAACGACTGAGCCACCCAGGCGCCCCTGCTAGATTCTTATATATCCATTTTATAGACACTGTTTGACCCCAACTGGTGATTTTCTTTCTTAGAAGCAGGCAGGCAAGAATAGTAACGAATGTTTTCTTTAGTATTTCCACAACCGGGTACGTGAAGAGTTTTCACACAATGCAAGCTCCCCACTTCCTGCAAGGTATTATTACCTCTCAGAAGGCTTTATTTATTTACCTTCTATAAATACAACCACTTCATGCATTGGTCCCTCCTTGAGAAAGGACTTCTCAAATTACTGCCATAAACAGAAACATGATTGCAGTGAAGGTTTCCATCCAAAGATGGGTTTCTGACTCGTGACTTGATTTGTAAGGACAGTTGGGGCTGTGCACTCCTCCTCCACGACCCCAGGGAGTCTCCCCCCAACCCCCCAACCCCCATCCTCAGAAATTGGTTGGAGCTGGGACCAAAAAGGAGAGCATCCCACCTATTCTGTAATTGGGGACCTGGTTGTACCATGGGATGTAATGTGTTACAGAGCACGGAACATTGTGGAAAATTGAACACAGGCATTTATTCCTCAGTGGTGAACATAGTAAACTCACTCCTTTTCCTCATGAAGTTCAGAACCCAAACTCAAGTGGTGCCAGGCTCTGCTTGTGGGTGACTCCGTGCCCAGTACAGCCCTGCGTGGCAGCCCCACACGGCCACTTAGCTGAGTTTTAGGAGATCAAAATCTCTCCTTATCTGTGTGGGCCCCACCACAGGCACTTAGAGCAGAATTTCTAGAGACAAGGCCTAGGCCTCCCATAGTCTGCAAACCTCCCCAGGTGATTCTACTCCCTAGCTAGGGTTGGGGGCCATAAGGGGTCAGGAAAACACCTGCCAGGACACAGCGCACCTGTTTCCCCCGACAGATCCCTTTGTACCCAAAAGAGATGAAACAAGGAGAACTGCTTCGTAGGAAAGGAACCTTCCTTTTTTTCCTAGAAGCACCTTCTGTCACACGGAGGCTTTCTTGGTCATTATAATTACCACCATAAGAAGTCGTTCATTGTGGTCGATTTAAAGAAAATGTGTCCCCTTCCCTCTCCCCCTTCTTAAAGGGATTCCATGGTCGTGTAAGATCTAAAATGGAAGTGTGTTCCCCTGACCTCCGGGCCCCAAGCAAACCCTCTCTTCTCTGTGAACATAGCCATTGGGTGGGGAATGTCAAGGACCACCAGAGCTAACAAACCAACGGGCAAAGCCGGGGGGTATTTGCTTTCCTGGGGAGGACACAGCAGTGAAGAAACGAGGGGAGCTGGCTGAGAGGGGAAGGCAGGGGATTTGTGAGTGCTGGAAAGATGGCTCATGGGGTCATGCTAACTCAGGTTTGAAGACTGGCCCTCTGGAGAGGACTGAAGGAGTCCCTAGGGCTCACTGAGTAAAGCAAGTCCCCTCGTCCACGGTTTCACTGCTAGGAAATCCAGAGCATCGCATCTTTTTCAACTTTTTTTCCTCCACCATTTGCATTTTTTTAAATGGGCACAGGAATAAAATGAAACAACCATGAATCCACAGAGCCCCTTTCTAAAAAAAGCAGCCCTCGTGTGCCACTGGCCCAGAATCTTTCACTCGTCTCCTTCAGCTTATGTCCATTTTCATATTTGGAGAATGGGCATTAAACTTTTGCTATTACCTCTTATTTTCATTCTCCACTTTCAATTCTCCAATACTCCACGGCCTGAGTACAGGTTTTCTGGTCTTCCTTGTATCTTTTTAAAATGGGATATAATTGACCGAGGACATTCTATTAGCTTCAGGTGTATGGCATAATGATTCCATATTTGTGTATATTGTGGAGTGATCGCCAGCCGTAAGTCTAGTTAACATCCATCACCACACAACATTACGGGATTGTTTTTCTCGTGATGAAAACTTTTAGGGTTTACTCTCTTAGCAGCTTTCAAATAGGGAATACAGTATTATGTATGTATGTATGTATGTATGTATGTATGTATGTATTTGACAGAGACACAACGAGAGAGGAACACAAGCAGGGGGAGCGGGAGAGGGAGAAGCAGGCTCCCAAGGAGCAGGGAGCCCAATGCGGGGCTCGATCCCAGGACCCTGGGACCATGACCTGAGCCGAAGGCAGACGCCCAATGACTGAGCCACCCAGGCGCCCCGGGAATACAGTATTATTAACTGTAGTCACCATGCTGTATATTACATCCCCCAGGACTTATTTATTTTATAACTGGAAGTTTGGTCAAACGGAACAAGTTTCTGTATATTTTAAACTATCGTTTTACAATTTAGGCTCTTTATTATCTAGATTATTTGTGTGTGTGAGTTTTCTATGAACACGGGCAGAAAATCTTGAGGTTTATTTATTTATTTGCTATGGAGGGTCTCCCACTCACAGGACAAAAGCCCCAGTGCCTGGCATGAAGGCAGTGCTCAGCCAGTGTTTGTTGACTGACTGTATTTAGGAAGGGTCACTCTGTGATTCATCCTGCTTTGTCTTTGAGCTGTGATGTTGTTCACTTTCCTGGAAAAAAGTAATTCAGACCTTCAAATATTTATTTAACAAATAGGGAGTTTCTACCATGAATCAGACATTAGGGAAACGCCGGCAAGAATTTTGTCATGTACTAATGTAAGAAATAACTGAGTTGCCCCAAGTCCTTGGTTCTGTTTTTTCTTTCATTGAGGTGAGGTTGACATAACATGAGTTGAACCATTTGAAAGCGTACTGTTGAGTGGGATTTGGTACAATCGAGGTATTGTGCAACCTCCACTGCCATCTGGTTTTGCAGCATGTTCATCACCTCCAGGGTGACCCGTACCCATTCAGCAGTCACTCCCCAGGCCCCAGCCCCCAGCAACCACTAATCTGCTTTCTGTCTTTGTGGATGATTGCTTGCTTTTTGGCTCATGGATGCAAAAGAAATGATGGTATTGCATTTTATACGTTGTCACTTGCCTCAGAAACTCTGGGCACTCCACCAGCTGAGATTATCCCCCTCAGCTTCTGGGCCAAAAGACTGTCTTGGAAGGGTGAGGGGTCTTCTGCTCTGTCAGCGGATAACCGGCCCGAGGTAAAGGCCATCATCATGCAGAAGTGAGTACGTCAGACAAGAAGTCTGCAGACTGTGCTTCCTGATGCCAAGATGCTTTTCCTAGGATGGTTGGTCCTGATGTTATTCCCCTCCCACACATCCATGGAGCACGAATCAAAGGTGTGGAAGTGTTCTGTCCCCTGGGCCCTCCGCCTCCCTATGAAGCCGTGGTGAGCCAGACAGACCAGGAGCAGGTATGGCCCGTGGTTTCTCATTGCTATGTTGACTGCTGGTAGGAAAAGCAGCCTGGCGTGCAGAGCACAGTGGGACACTGGGCCTTGAACATGCTCCTAAGTTCAGTGGAGTCCAGGTGGGGGATGAGCTGAATATCAACAAATAACGCTCTTTTCTCCTGTGATGTAGGGACCTTCATTCCACATGCCAGAAGGATTAGAAGGTGCCACGAGCCCCTTGGAACCGATCTGCATACCATTGACTCAAGGTAATAAATACACGATTGCTGTCCAAACTCAGGATTCCATCAAGTAAGACATCATGAAATAATGACCTATATGATATTTTGTTGGAGGTCAGATATCTTGAAGCCAGTGGTTCAAATTACATCCTTCTTGGGACATCTGGGTGGCTCAGTCAGTGAAACGTCTGCCTTTAGCTCAGGACATGATCCCAGGGTCCTGGGATCAAGCCCCGCATCAGGTTTCCTGCTCAGCGGAGAGTCTGCTTCTTCCTCTCCCTCTGCCCCTCCCCCACTGATGCGTGTGTGTGTGTGTGTGTGTGTGTGTGTGTGTGCGCGCGCGCGCGCACGCGCACGCGCTCTCTCAAATAAATAAATTTTAAAAATCTTTAAAAAACCCCACAAATTACATCCTTCTTTCCAGGTGTAAAAATACTGTCAACAGTTGGCAAGTAGGAGATACTGTGTGAACAGAAATAAAAATATCCTCAGAATCTTTGATGAGTCACCAGACCCTTCTCAGGGACCTGTGAAACGGATTAGAGAGCTTAATGTGGCATCCTTGTGTTTTCCCACCTAAGATTTTCTTTCTCCTGTTAAAATAAGATGGGCCCTTTTAAAGGGAAAAAAGCGTTTTGTCTATGGCAGGATGATTTGCCGTGAGATTGCGCTGTCATTTATAACCTTGGGTCCAGGTCATGCTGCCTTCACGTGTAGTGAACACTGATTTTTCCATCCTGCCTCGAAAAACAAGAGTCAGTTTGCAGTTATCCTTGTCATTCAAGGGATCATGATTGCAGCTCTTTGTCTTTGGAGAGGTTTGAAATGGCTTGGAGAACTGTCCACCAGCACAAAATGGCAGGGGTGATAAATAATGGATCAACTCTCCAGGTATTTTCGATGGGGGTGACTTTTCAGCAGCACCATTTGGAATGAGTTTCTGTTCCGTTCACCTTCCATCTTAGAATAATGCAGAAGTGCTCTCTTCCCTAAGTATGTTTGTTGCTTCTCCCATTTCTTAAAGTTTCCCAGACCACACTCAGGCTCGCCGATGACATGATGTGGTTGTCCTGAGCAGAAGTCATCCGTTTCTTGAGTGGTTCTCCCCATCCACGAGGTGGCCACTGGCTCTTTCCTGTGGCCATCAAGCCTTTCACAGCCCGGCCTGTACCCTGGGCCGTGTGGATGCTTCCACTGCCTGCATTCATGGTCTGCATCCCTCAGGGAAGTCGCCAGAGCTGGGCAGGCATTTCTTCCCCCCCCCCCCCCCCCCCCCCCCCAGGCTCACCTTGCATTGCCAAAAACTGGAAAGCCACTAGGAACTTTCTAGTGCTGCACCAGGACGCTTCCCTGGAGAAGATTCTAAGCACTTGCAGAAAAAAACAAAACAAAACAAAAAAACCACCTGACATTTGCAAGGGCTTCTTGATTTTACTCTTGGACTTACAATTTTTTGTTGGCTTGTTTTAGGTGTGGAGGGGTGGTTTGGAGAGGAAGCGTTTCCCATGGTGCTGGGAAATAAAAGCTCACTGGCCAACAGCCTAAGCAAATGTGGTTAACTCTGTTCCCCTGCCCCTGAAGGTTTGGGCTCATGGGCGCTTTCCTGCCCAACATTTTGAAGGCAGCAGCTGGTGAAATAATTTATGTTTCTCTTCTTTAAAAAAAAAAAAAAATCAGGTGAGGACATTCCTAACACACCCAGAGAAGAAAGCACATCGATCTCAACTCCCGATGCAAACCAGCTACCTCCCACGGGAAGCCGGAGAGTCTTCCCAGCCCTGAGCACAAGATCGAGGAGTGACCCTGTGCTCCATCATTCCGCGGAGAGAGGTGATGTCACTCCCCAAGCCTCTTGCACAGCACTGTGCGTGTTTGCCCCAAAGCGGCCAGGTGAATGCGGGTGCCTCTGGCCAGCCACCGCCCTGCAGCTTGAGAGATGTCTTGAGAGAGGTTAAGAGGTCTTGGGAAAATACAATATTCTCATGCACATTAGGAATATTCACCTGTCACATTTAAGGCTGGTGGAGTTTTTTCTTTTGAAGTCATTGTCAGCAAAAGCGTTTGGTTGCACATGATAGTGTTTGAGGTATGAAATGAAGAAAATGCAAATGTCGTTCTGATTTCTGGGTGCTCACAGTCTTATGGAAATAAACGTTCTCAAGGAAAAAGTTCAAGGGTATATATTTTTTTTACCCCCTCTTATGACCTAAATTATCTTTTTTTTTTTTTTTTTACTTTGAACGCGTAGTTGAGTTGTTTGAATCTGACCTGTTTTAAGAAGTTTTAGATAGAGTGAAACTCACATTCCCATGCTCTCCCTTTCTGTGTGAAGTTTGTTACAGATGTCATTGGAATAATTTTAAATTTAAAACATGTTAAAGACTTAAAATAACATTGAGTCCTTTTTCTGAATATGTGAATACCTGAACATCTCCAAATAGCTCTGCATGGTGGAAAACTGTAAAAATAAAATAAAGGAAAGAAAGGGAGAAAATGAAAATCTCTAATCCCGCCGCCCAGGCTTCTTCCGGTGACCTCTGGTCAGGGAGCAGGGCCTCTGCTCTCCTCAAGCTCTGTGCAAATACGACTTTGCAGACGCTCTCTCCTTGCTCTCTCTGGGGCCCCGTGTCACCCCCTTGCAGTCTTGGTTCTGTCCCTCTGACATCCTGTGTTGTTCGCTGCAGCCCTGGACTGACCGTGTGCGAGCCAGAGAGAACACTCCTCTTGTCTTCTGAGCTGGGAGGAGTCCCACTGCCTGGGACTGAGCGCCTCTGCAAACCCCCAGGCCGGCAGCCCGGCCCCTCAGCTCCCCAGGCCCCTTTCACGGCGGGTCTCTACCACCCGACCTGGCAAGTTGAGGACTCGAGCTGGCCACTCGCCAGCATTAAGCGAAACTTGGCTCTCTGCACAGCTTAGTGAGATCCTCCCAGATCTGCCGTGCTGCAGGGGGGAGGAGACATGTGTTCACCTACAGCGTTGGAGTCCTCTGCTGTAGACGGCCCAGATTGCCTTCCAGTGACTGACTGTAGTCCCTGACTGTCCTCACACACGAGCGTCTGCAGGGAGCCTTCCTGGAAAACTCCGGCTCTCTGTGACATGCACGTGGCAGCCTGGAGGGTGGCCGCTAACCCCGGTTTAGAGCGCCAACCTTTCTCCCGAGGAAAAGGGATGCTCCCCTCCCTCCACCTGCCCTCTCGCCCTCTGCTTCCTTTCTTCCTTGAGTATCAGATTCCCGCTTGCTTGTCAGGCCGTCACAGACTGAAACCTCCAGGGTCGTGTACACTGAAGGTTGCTGGCTGGCTTACGAACATGCGGAGACCGGGCCTGCATTCCCCTTCACCCACTTGGTGGTGCAGTCATGTTCTGCCGGGCCTTAAGCCCTTCTGATGCCGATAGTTGTGGACATTAGAGCCTGTGGCGGTGGATCTCCCAGGCTGCTGTTGACTTCTGGAACGACGTGTGATTTTTCCGCACCTGGTGTTTTCTTTCTGTTAATACTCAGCCCTAGAGCTGCCTCACAGCCACGGTGTGAGCGTGGATAAGTCGGCACCATGCCCTGAGGATGTTTAGGACAAAGGTACAGTCAAAGGGGGTGGAGCCCTCCATTCGTCCCGCCCTCTTGCCCCTCCTCAGCCTCTCTCTTGAAGTGGCTCCTTCATCCTCCGCCCTCGGAGCATTCTCTCATCAGGTCCCTCTTTTTTCTGCTCACCCACCCATCCCCACTCACTGGTCATTACCCCACGGCACTGTTGCTGCATTCTTGATGCTCTTCCCTGTCATCTGTCTCCTCCTTGGTGATCATGTTTTATGTGGCACAACGAAATGTTCTGGGGACACGTCCTATCGGAACTTCAGGGAATGAGCTTGTGTCATTGTTTTCTGGTTTTTGGTTTTCTTCGCCCCCCCCCCTTTTCCTTCTGTGAGATGAAAAGCAAGATGTGCATGGTCGTTGACATTTGCAACCTGCTTTCCGCGCCAAGTTCCGTGGCCCGTGCTGTCTCGGGTCCGGGCGGGTGCTCACAGGGGCGTGGCCAACGGGCACGTCTTGTTTGTCTCTGCCCACAGCTGTCCCCGTGCTCAGCTGCGAAGCCGCAACGCAGACCGAGGGAAGACCAGATCTGGCCACGGTGACCTTGAGGAGAGGTTTGAGGTGCAGAGCTTCGCGATGCCGGCCTCGGTCCCTGATAGATTACAAGTCCTACATGGACACCAAACTGCTGGTGGCGAGGTTCCTGGAGCAGTCGTCCTGCAGTATGACCCCAGACATCCACGAGCTTGTGGAGAACATTAAATCTGTTCTCAAGTCCGATGAGGAGCACATGGAGGAGGCCATCACCAGTGCCAGTTTCCTAGAACAGGTAGTTTTATTACTGGTCTCGGGCATGAGTCAGAGAACTTGTTTCCAGAGCACCTGAAGCGCCTTCTCTGATTTCCTGTCCAAGGCGCAGTAAGTTCACGGTCAGGGTATCAAGGAAGTCTGGGGAGGGAGAGAGAAGAAGCCGGAGCACTTTCTTTTCAGGCGTGATGACTTTTCCACAAGCTTCCTGGCCCAGGGAGAGAAAGCGATTTTCCCCGAATGTGGAACACGCCTGGGAAAAGAAAGCGGTGCCACTCGGGAATAAAAGCAAGGGGTCTGGGCAGCGTGGGGCACTGTCAGCCCTCCATTTGCCAAGCTGGGTTTCCCTGGATAGGGCGCGGTTCCTCAGCACTCTGGCAATGATGGACGTAACATGAATTTTCATATTCCCGTGAAATGGTGGCAAGACACCTAAACCAATAGGACTTAGAGGAATAAATGATCTTTTCTCCATAGGTTCTAGATGAAAAAGCACAATTCCCTAAGCTGAAGTCACCCAGGGGAAAGATAAAGTCGGGCACGTAACATAATCCATTTGGGTGTCAGTTTTCTCATTTTTGTTTACTTTTAAAAAAGATTTTATTTCTTTATTTGAAAGAGAGTGCAAGCGCACAAGTGGGGGGAAGGGCAGAGGGAGAGGGAGAAGCAGACTGCCCGCTGAGCGGGGAGCCCCTGGGCTTGATGCCAGGACCCTGGGATCATGACCTGAGCCGAAGGCAGACGCTTAACCGACTGAGCCACCCAGGGGCCCCAGTTTTCTCATTTTTTAAAGTGAAGTGTTAGACTAGGTGGTCTCAACACGGGTACCTCTGAATGGGATTTCCTTCTGCTGAGAACTGGGGATGGGTCACAGCTGTAATTACCCACCTCTTTTAAAAACCGCTGCCAGGGTCACCTGGGGAGCTCAGTCAGTTAGGCATCCGACTCTTGATTTCAGCTCAGGTCATGACCTCAGGGCCCCGGGATCAAGCCGTGCGTAGGGCTCCACACTCAACTTGGAGTCGGCCTGAGATTCTCTCTCTCCCTCTCCTTCTGCCCATCCCCTTGTGCTTTCTCTCTCAAATAAATAAATAAATTTTTTAAAAAGTTGTTACTTTTTAGGCATTTGCTTTGTTGCCCTTGACTGTGGGGTGGTTTCTGTGACCTCGGAGCACAGTGGCTCACAGTGTGACCCGCCCGCGCCTGTGGGCAGTAAACACGTACATGGGGCTGCAGGGTCCTGGGCAGTAAACACGTACATGGGGCTGCTCACTCTCCTTTCCATTTCCCTTTCTACCTGCTGGCCTCCCCTGACAAAAGCCAGAAGCCAGTTCCTCTCCCAGCCCCTCAGGTGACCCAGGGGAACAGAAGAGCCATGCGATGACTCGCGTGAAGAGGTACATGAACCGCGGACCCTCTTGGCGTCTACTTTCTAAAGGAGCAGTCAGCTGGTGGTCTTGGGTCACGCTCTACTTAGCATCTGTGTAGGGGAGATACTTGCATCCTCCTAACCCTGGCCTCCAGAAGTCATTCCCTGCCTCCTTCCTCCGTCTGGCCCCAACAGCCCGATACACAGAGCAAGTATTTGGAGCCGCTTGTCGGAGGCTGCCCAGCTCTAGTGAGGTCAGAGTTGGAGTATCTGTCAAGCCATTGGTCTGGATCTTCTGCTCAGTCTTCCCTGGAAAATAGCTTTGGGGAAAATGACCAAGCACTTAGAGCTCAACAGACGCTCTCACTGCAGATGTTGGCTGGGTCTTTGTGCCGAGTCTGGATAAAACTGCAGGTACTGGGATTGTTGCAGTGGACTCTGGGCCATCTCCTGGCGCCTTCCGGGAGTGGACCCCAGTGGCGAGGCCCAGTGTGACATCCTCCCCAGAGAAAAGAAGGTAGAGACAAGCGGAAGGAGAGTCTTTATTCCCGACTCTACCCAGCTTTGCACATTTTCACTTTTCCTAGTATGACTCAAATAGGTTTTAGATCCGTCTCATGTTTATTCCTATCAAAACCACTTGCCCCAACTTACATGTCACAGCAATTGACATCTATGAATGTTGGAATTTTCTTTTTAACCAGGAAACGACAGGGCTTTAAAGACAAATATAATAACAGTGTGTTAGCAAAATTTAACGTCCCATCTCTTGGAGGGATTAACCTTCTGAGGCCTTTAAAATCTCAGAATAGTACAAACTAAACAAAAAGTCAGCCCAGTGATTGTTCTGTGATGTTAGGGGGTCATGAGACGCTTGGGTTTTTCTCAAGGTGCTAACAAAGGTCCTAGAGCATGACTGGGCAACTTCTGGAAATTGTACATACTAGAGAGTTCTCCCCTCCTCGGTCCCAGCAGGATGAGGGGTCTCCCAAACGTTTGCCATTTTACAAAGTAAGTGATATTATTATATATTTCAAGTTACATATATGCTACATTGTAAAACAGATCTAGCGGTAGAACCATTCTTAAGCATTTTTTACAAATAAAAATGGCCGAGTTTTTATGTTGCTTATTATGTTTTGTTATCGAAGGGTTATCAGATTAACTGGAAGCATCACTGGTTTTGGGTGACATTTTAAAACTCATTAGCGGGTCACAGTGCCCCACAGGTGGTTATCAACTTTTCAAGAACATTGGTATCACCTGGGTTCTTGTTAGAACTACGGACGTTGCAGCCCCGCCTGTCACAATCGCTGTGGGGGAGCAGGGGATCCTCGGTAGCAGCTACCCTCCCCTCCAGAAACCTGCAGACCCCGGTGAGAAGCACTGTCTCAGACCCCAGGCAAACTGGGTAAAAATGACGAGAAGAATGTTAAGTGGAAAGCAAAAGTGTAAAATCACCTGCCTCGGACGAATCAGGGAAGTGACGTGAGGCAGGTCGGCAGCTGAAACGATAGCAAATCGGGGGAATGTCTGAGGAGCGTTAGGAAAGAGGCAATCTGTGGAAGGTATCTGGAATTCCAAGTGTGTTCCACTTTGGGAAAACACCCTATTTTCTTTTCCAAAGCAACGAAGCTAAGCAGTGCCTGGCTGGCTAGAGAAGGCAGGTCGTGGTGCAGCCTAACGTCTCCCCCACCCTCTTATTCTCCCCAAGATAATGGCCCCGTTGCAGCCCAGCACTTCCCGGACCCACGTGCCGCCCTCGCGGAGACAGCCTGGCTTCTTGCACCTGCGGAGCTGCGGGGACCTGAGCACCTTCGTCCCGGCGGGGGGGCCGGGAGCCGAGAGGAGGCCCCAGCGAGCAGAGGCTGAGCGGCCCCACAGCCTCATCGGCGTCATCCGGGAGACCGTTCTGTGAACCTGTGGGGTTCGGCCTGAGCGGGGTGGGCGGGAAGGAAGATGCACCCCGAAGGCAGAATGATCCCTCCTGACCTTGGAGTGCCCTGGCCGGGAGTCCGCGTGCCCTCTGGGCAGCCCTCAGAAGGGGGAGCAGGCACTCTGGGGGACATTTGTTCTCACTCTCCAGCTCCTCTTCTGCTGCCTGAGGACTTTCAGGGGTGGGCAAGCGGCTTCTTCCAGGCCCATTTGGCTTTTGGAGGCACTGATCCGGAGGCCGTGGAGGCAGCCTCCCTCCAGCCTCCGCCAGGTCACGTGGGCAGAACCCCCGCTGACGATTCTTCGCCCATCTCCGCAGCCGGGGCTCTTGTGCTCCCCGAATCCCTCCCTCCGTGGAAGGACAGAGCTGCTGGGATGCTGTGGAGAGCTCCCGCGGCCTCTCGCTGCTCCACGAGGGAGCAGAGGGCCCGGAAGCAGGATGGCTAACCCCGATGTTCTGCGCTTGTCAAGCTTCGTTTTACGTCACCCCCAAATCACGGTGTCTTTAGGAAGAACGGGAAACTCGTTCAGTGACAAATGGCAATGAAAGATGTTTAGGGAGAGGTTCTTGTTGATTGCATTTATTCGTGCTTGCAAAACTAGTGATGGCTAAGGCCCAACTGAGAATAAAAACGGGTACTTTGGACCTCTGGGCTCCGTGTCCAACATTTGTGTGGGCGTAGGTGGCCAGGCCTTTCCTTAGGAGGGGTTGAGCCCTGGGGGCAGCGGGGAGGCCGGTGGGGAGAGCCTCAAGCTGGATTGTTCTGCTAACAATGAGGTAGCTCCGAAGAGTTTAACACGGGAGTACCGGCTTTAACTGGCGTTTCAAGAGATCACGTGCTGCTGGAGACGAGCCGAGGCTGCGGTAGGAGGCTGTGAGCTAAGGGCCTTGCTGGGCCCTCCTGTGCTCTAGCCACCATTAGCGGCCCCCACACTCTCCGCTCGCCGCCCAACAGCCTAAGAGGTGGGTGCTCTTACAGTCCCCATTTTACAGACGAGGAAGATGAGGTTCAGTAACGCCCCAGGTCGCTCCGAAGTTCAGTGGTGGAGATGCCAGGCACCCCCGCGAGCAGCCCGTCTCCAGAACCTCCCAGGCGGCGGGGGGGTTGGCATTTCCTGTGTCTGTGACAGAGTGCTGGGTAAGGCTCCTAGCGTGCCTAATGGGAGTGCAGACTGGCCTGGCGGCAAGCCAGCGAACCACGCCACAGTGGGAATTGCGGAGGGGCCTGGGGACTGAGTAACCAAGAGGGGACGAGTGTTTGGAGGCGCTGGGGGGCGGCGGGGGGGAGAGCCGGGGCTGGGGAGGCAGAGCTGGAAGGCAAGGGAGAGCTGGGGGCCGGGACCGCTGTGTTCGCGGAGGAGGTTGGTGGGGCTTCCCCGTGGCAGTTTCTCCCTTCTATCTGCCCACCCCCAGGCCCTGATTTTTCGGTGTGAGTGAGCCAGCTCTTGATTTCTCTAGAAGCCCTAGCTGTCTGCACCGGATCTGTGCACTGGGGCTTGGCCCACTTTGCTGGGGTCTCCAGTGTGTTACAAGCCCCTGCCTCACACAGGCTCTCTGGCCTCTGTAAGCTAAGTGTAGCCCACGTAACCCGGTCCAGGTGCTCTCCTCCTGGTCTGGGCAAGAAGGCCTGGCCTTTCTCACCGCTCTAGGTTTATGCTTTGTCCCACTCTGGGAGGGCATTGTTTTTAGCTGCATCCCTCCTCTTCCCCTTCTGAAGTCTGTGCCCCTCCCTCCAACTGCCACCGCGGGCCTCACCGTGAAGTTTTGGGGAAGGTAGGCGGGCGCCCGCCATGCAGATGGCATCTGTTTCTAGCCTTGGAGAAACAGTCACAGAGGTGGTCTGGGCCATTCTGAGGAAAGGAAATTTGCCAACAGCAACCAGAAGAGGAAAGGGGAGCGTGAGACTGAGGGCATCGCTTGACACCTAGCAGGAGGAAATGGGGACCTGTCTCTGCTTTGAAGAGTTGATCTAGCCGCCTGGGGGGTGTCCCATGTACTTCCAAGATCTGAAGGTATCAGTGAAGTCAGGAAACTGACTTCTGTCTTGCTTCTCAGACGTCAAGGAATATTAAAGTAAAGAACATATATATATATTATATATTGCAATATAATTATAATACAACATGTTATATCTATTTGCCCTGGGAGGGAATTAGAGGTTATATTATTCATCTCCCTGTTATGTGTCTGCGTGTAGTACACAGCATTATAACGTGATGTACACGTGCATCCATAACTGAGTATACACAGGCAGGGCAGCCCGTTTGCATTTGGAGTCCCTTAAGAATCCACAGGCGGTGGATCCACTGAGGTGGTGACAAAGCATCTCAAATGTAGTTACCAAGATTACACTAGAGCGTTGACTGATTAGCATGAGGGGCCTTTGAAACAAGCTTCTGCTGGTGAAGTACAAGATCTCTCTGACCGGGGAGAAGCCTCGCAGAGTCACCATTGCCTTTGCACCAGTGAGGAGGAAGAATCTGGTCCCCAGTTCCTGAGACTGTCATGGGATGGATCAGGACACGGGCTGCTCCTTCCTAATGTTGTCACTTGTACCCTTTCATACAAGCTGTGTGTCCAAGTGTCTGAGGCCAGGGTGGGACTCTCCCAAGCGTACGTAGGACTGTCGTGGGCAGACATGCCAGGGCGTGTTTGTGCCTGGCTGGCAGAATTTCTTCCGAGGCCTGCTTTCTTCGGGACACCCTGCCCAATGGTGAGATTTGGGAGAGGGGTCCATGGCCCCTCACTGCGTGAGGCTGCCCATATTTACCAAAAGCAGCGGACATGCGCTGAGCAGCCACGCTGGCAAGGTCCGGTCACTCCACAACCTCACTTTGCAGCTGACCAAGCTGAGGCTCAGAGCCGAGAGCAAAGCAGCAGTGGGGCGACCAGACTTCCGGCTCCTGGACCAGGGCTGTTGGTGCGGGTCACAGCTTCTCAGGTTATCTGGGACGAAGGACTATTTCCCACCCCCTCCAATCAGTCATGGACCAAAAGCTTTTGTAAATTAGAATAAGCTGACTGAAAATTGTGTCGGTCGGCTAGGACGGTGATGACAGCATACCACAGACGAGGGGGCTCAAGCAACAGGAACTTTATTTTTCATAGTTCTGGAGCCTGGGAAGTCCCAGATCAAGGTGCCTGCAGATTCGGTGTCCGGTGAGGACATCTGCCTTCCTGGCTTGCAGATGGTCCTTCTTGCTGGGTCTCACGGAGTGGGGACAGAGAGGGAGAGAGAGAACTCTGGTCTCCACGTCTTCTTCTAGGGACGCTAATCCCATCATGGGGGCTCCACCCTCATGACTTCACCTAAACCCAATCCTCTGCCAAAGGCTTCACCTCCAAATACCCTCGTACTGGGGCTTTGGGCTTTAACATATGGGTTTTGAGGGACACAAACATTCAGTCCATAGCGCTGATTTACCAGGACAATGAAATAATAGTAATAAAAGGCATACAAAAGTCACCCCCCCCTTGGATTAAATAAGCTCTACTTTTGCCCCAAATAAGCCTTATTTTTTAGAGCAGTTTGAGGTTTACAGCTAACTTGAACAGAAAGTACAGAGGTTTCTCATGCAGCTCCCCACCCCATCAGCTTCTCACACCAGAGCTTGCTCTTGTCAGGGACTGGAAGCAAAGAGCATTCTCGGTCCAGGTGTGTGGTGCGGGTTGGGGTTCCTACTCTAGCCCCAGTTTCCCAGTGTTCTTTCAGCCCCGAGTCTGTTCTGTGGTCTGGGTCCCAGGGACACTGAAGAAGCCTGGGAGTGAGAAGACAGGCAGACACCCTTCCCTCTGCACCCACGTGTCTCTGAGGAGGCCCGAGAGTGGAGGTGGCCCTCACAGACAAGTGCTTTGGCAAGTCCCTCAGGGTGAGGGGGAACTGGCAGAGGAAAGATGTAGCTCTGGTTTCCACCCAGCAATTGGGGAAACTGAACAAAGGAGCTCCACCCCCCCACGCCCCCCACCCCCGTCCGGGCCCAACAGGCAGATGCCGAAAACAACGAAGGGAGTGAGGGAGGGGCCTGGACAAGAGCATCTTTGTTTATGTGGGTTTTCTCCTTGGAGCTGCGGCAAGGGAAGCCGAGTCTGGGGCCAAAGGGCACCATGTTTCTTCCGTTTCTGTCCACAGGAGCCTTCATCCTCGCCCTCATTCAGCAGGTGTTGACTGAGTTACAGAGTATAGGCAGCAGGCCAGGTGCAGGGGAAAGGCAGCTGAGTGGGGAGAGGGGGTCAAGGCCAAAAAAGTCTAAGAATAATAAATGCAAAGTGACATTTCTCTTGGCTGCATCTGAGCTGCTCCCTGGCCCCAAGGGGCAGGAGGATTTGGGACTCTCTTTGGGTCAACTTGGAAGACCAAAGGTCCTGGCCTGATTTATAGGGATGGTTTGAAGGGATCTTTCATCCTGGATTGTGAAACAGGTCCCGGCAGGGATGCCTCAGGGCGAAGCTCGGCAGACCTGGGCTGGTGGCAGCCGGTGGTCACAATCTTAGAAATCGTTAAAGAAAAATTATTCATGACACCTGATAAGGTTGGTAAGGAAGACTACGAAGGAGCTGCCGTGGTGGTCTGCAGTAGGGGAGAGAGATCAGGCTCAACTCTGAGTACAAGCACAAGTGCACAGTGGGGTGTCAGTGGATGGAAGAGGAGACGTCAGGGCTGGGGGATGCTTGCTAGACCAACTCACTTAGGGCTTTTTTTTTTTTTAAGATTTTATTTATTTATTGAGAGAGAGAGAGAGAGAGAGAGAATGGTAGAGAGAGAGCAGGAGAGGGAAGAAGGTCAGAGGGAGAAGCAGGCTCCCCGCCGAGCAGGGAGCCCGATGCGGGACTCGATCCCGGGACTCCAGGATCGTGACCTGAGCCGAAGGCAGTCGCTTAGCCAACTGAGCCACCCAGGCGCCCTCACTTAGGGCTTTTCTGGAGGCAGGCCAAGGTGATCAGATACCAAGCATGGGGGGATTTTTGTTCAACTGGCCCTGCAGGATTCCTGTTAAAACCAGACTGAGCAGGCCAAGGACAGAGCTCAAGGTTGGAGCTTGGTCAGAAAGAGGACTCAGAGGAGCCAATTCAAGTTCGGCCAAAGAAAGAGTCTTTGTCAGAATCTGATGAGTACCTTCTCTTCTGAGTGAGAACCTCTTGCCACACTCTGTCCTTGGCCTT